GTGTGTGTGTGTAGTATATATATATATATATATATATATATATATATATATATATATATATATACACACACAAATTTTATATATGAAAGTAAATATTATAAGTACATGGGAAAACCTTCATGAGCCCTAAAATTCACTGAGATTAAAATATAAAAATCATAGGATTATTCGGTAATGTGAGAGGACAAGAGGACAGTGGGAAAGTAAGAATCATGCCCAGATCTAGTGATGGATATTTGATAAATAAATGTGCTGGTATCACCCTCATACATTTCATTCAGGAATACTTCTGCTTCTGAAGTGAGTCACATTTCTTTAATTTAAAAGACCAAGAGTCCTTTTCCTACTGAAAACAGCAAACATGATAGTTTCACCACTGTCGCTGGATAGTACCCATGAAAAGTTCTTAATCAGTGGCAGAAGCAGGTGAGTCTCCTTCACATAATTTAATGCACATGATTTAAGAGATGTGAAACAACTAGATAGATGAGAGACAATTCTACCGTTTTACAGTCTTTTCAAAAATCACATTTCCTCTTTTCACTCTTACCTTGAATCTGTTAGTAAATAGTTCCAGTTTAGGGAACAACTCCCTGTTGGTGTACAGACTCTGCAGAGCTTTCAAACACTTCAACCTCACTTCACCTTGCTAAAGAAAAACACACTAAGATTAGCCAAAATATCCTAATGAAATGCACATGAAGATTAAGTAGCATCCATCTAGTAATCTCTAGTTTTGTTGTACATTTAAAATTCTATGTAAATAAGTTACCAAAAACAACCTCATTAAACAATCTAACAGTTAAATTAAAATGTACAAAAATAATAGGGAATGTTCTACAAAAACAAGTGTTATACTTCTTCTGCTTCTGTGTACAGAAAAGACCCAACCTGCACCACTGAAGTTCATGGAGGCAGGACTGAGTCCAAAGCTGGCTTCTAAAGGTTCTTTCAGTTGATGTTGAAAACAAACAAAAAAAAACCAAAATAAAAATGAAAACCAGGGAAAAAAATATAAACATTATTTGAAACTCGTGTCTGTTGGGTTATGTAAGGATTAAGTAAAGACCTGGGTAACAGCTATCATAGTACTAGGGAGTAAGGCACAGGCAAGCACTATTTCTTCGCTTGATAGATAAAATTGCCATCCTTTTCCCTTCCCTTCTGCTTGTTAAGAATAGATAAGCATTGCAGCTGCATAAGGAATATAGTTGTCTGAAGGATACCCTTTATGTGAAGAAGTGTTACTCCCCCCCCCCCCCCTTCCTCTCCCAGTTACATAGACGAGCTCGGGGTCATGGGCCCTTCCTCCCTCTCCTGTGAATTGCTGGTTAAGGGAATCTGTGGCTACAATTACTGCAAAGAAATGTATCTTCAAGGTAAAAATGTCTGTATAATGTGCTTAATGCTGCAAACAGTAAACAGGGGCGGGTAAAATTATATTCAGTATATAGCTATTAATATTCATTATATGGGTGTTCATATTATTAAATAAGAGTTTTGGGGTGTTGTAATAAATGTGAGTATTTACATATTAACTTAGATAAAAGAGTGGGATGTGATTAATTCGGGGCTTACTTGACAATTGGGCCAAGATGAACAATTACCGCAATAAAGAAGTCCGTTTACTCAATCCGCCTCTGGGTCCTCCTGCTCCTTCTTTCCATCTCTAACAGTGTCTTCTGAAGATGTACATTGAATATGCAAAAGATTGACCTCCCTAGTGAATTTTTTATCTTTACAATATGAAAGGCTGGATTTGACTTTGCTCCATGTTGTGATCTTGGAGAACAGCCATTAGCAAGGGGGCACTGGTCAGCTTGTGCAAACTTTCCACAAGTACCTATCTCTTCTCAATGCCTTTTCACACACTGTATGATGCACAAAGCTAAGAAATATAAAAAAGAAAACCCATCATCTCTAACTCTGAGGAGATGGTGGGTAGATAAGTGCCAATCTAGTGAACCTATCAATCATCAGGAAACAAACTACAGTTAATCAAATGCATCACGTTCTCACAAAAAAGTTATCCGCACAGATTTATAAGCTCTAAGAGTCCATGGTGAAAAATACCATGTGTAGGCAATGAAAAGGTTATAATTGGGAATTTACTGCTTAAAAATTCACAATACAGTGTCAAAGCAGTGTATCTAAGTAAAAATATCATAGAATCAAAGAATCATAGAAACGTAGGGCTGGAAGGGACCTCCAGAAGTCAAGTCCAGTCCCCTGAGCTGTGGCAGGACCAAGTAAACTTAGACCATAACTAACAGGTATTTCTCCAACCTATTTTTAAAAAGCTCCAATGATGGGGATTCCACAACCTCCCTTTGAAAACCTATTCCGGATCTTAACTACCCTTTAAGTTAGATATTAGGATAAACTTTCTAACCTGAATTTCCCTTGCTGTATATTAAGCCCATTACTTCTTGTTCTATCTTTAGTGGACATGGGGGACAATTGATCACTGTCCTCTTTATAACATGTTAAATGACTACTATCATGTTCTCCCTCAGTCTTCTTTTCTCAAGACTAAATGTGCCCAGCTTTTTAACCTTTCCTGGTTTTCTAAACCTTTTATCACCTGTGTTGCTCTCCTCTGGACTCGCTCCAATTTTTCCTTATCTTTCCTAAAGTGGGGTGTCCAGAATTGGACATAGTACTCCAGCTGAGGCCTCACCAGTACTGAGCAGAGCGGGACAATTACCTCCCATGTCTTACACACAACACTCCTGTTCATACACCCCAGAATGATATTAGCCTTTTTCGCAGCTACATCACACTGGTGACTCATTCGATTTGTGATCCACTAGAACCCCCAGATCCTTTTTAGAAGTACTACCACCTAGCCAGTTATTCCCCATTTCGTGTTTGTGCACTTGTCTTCATTAAATTTCATCTTGTTTAATTCAGATCAATACTCTGATTTGTCAAGTAATTTTGAATTCTAATCCTGTCCTCCAAAGTGCTTGTAATCCCGCCCATTTTGGTTTTATCTATAAATTATAAGCACAGTCTCCACTCCATTAGCCAGGTCATTAATGAAAATATTAAATAATACCAGACCCAGAACTGCCCCAGGCGACCCCACTAGATACACCCTCCCGGTTTGACAGTGAACTATTGATAACTACTCTTAGTTATCAAGTTATGCCTTTCAACCAATTGTGCTCCCACCTTTTAGTAATTCTGTCTAGACCACATTTCCCTAGTTTGCTTATGAGAATGCCACATGGGACTCTCCCAAAATCCTTACTAAAAATCAAGATATATCACATCTACAGCTTCCTCCTCCTCTCCCCAATCCACTAGGCCAGTGACCCAAAGAAGGAAATTCTGTTGGTCTGGCATGATTTCTTCTTGACAAACCAATGATGGATATTTCTTATAACCCTGTTATTCTCCAGATATTTACAAACTGATTGTTTAATAATTTGTTCCCATATCTTTCCAGGTATCAAAGTTATGCTGACTGGTCTCTAATTCCCTGGGTCCTCTTTGTTCCCTTTTTGCAACTTTAAGGCATAGAGTACCCCAGGAAAATAATACAAGTCACTGAAACCTCATAAAAAAGACAGGGCTTGTTTCTTGTGTCTGCCTATGTTGTGCTCATTGCTGCACCTCAAGGGCTGCTCAAACTAGCACCTGGATGAACATTCAGAGACTGAGACTATATAAATATGGTCAGAATCCTAACCACCTCAGTTCTTTTCTCCTGAACTCCATAAATCCAAGATGGAAGAGGGGTGGATGGGCAGGAAGTGGAATTATACAGAAGCAACCCTTGAAGAACTACAGTTACTATTAAGTAACCTCTTTCCTTTTGGTGAGCTTTTGCATACTTCTACTCATGAGAGCCTGGTATTGTCAGTCTTTGGTAGGGTGCACTCTAGGTTGGATGTTTCTGTGATTACTATTGCACAGGAAGCTTGAAAGATTAAACAATCTCTTTTAATGTGATTTCTATGCAGTTCCACCAATTGATCTGACTCAGGATCTTTCAAGGTATAGAAAGCATAAGGTGGGTTATTGCAATTCTGGACCATCAAATCTTGGAGAGGTCTCCTCCTGAGACAAGCCTAAGAGATGACATTTTGATTTTTGGCGAGATTGCTGCAGACCTCTCCTTTGACTTGTATGGAATCCAGAACTGCATCTAGAAAGGATATCTGCTTTGTGGAGACCAGGGAAAACTTTTCCCAACTGATCTGAAGATACTGCAGGCTGTTTGAATTGATAACCTGAGTAGGTTGTTGGATCTAGTTCTTGTCATCCAGTTATCTGAGTAAGGATAGAAATTGATTTTTCATCTTAAGTGGACAGCCATCATTGCCAAGCACTTGGTGAAAACTGTGTGTGCTGTTGACAGTCCAAATGGCAGGACCTTGTATTGAAAGTGTCTGTTGCTCACACTAAATGGCTGTATTAGTACATGAAAATACATGTCCTTTAGGGTGAAAGAACTGAGACAGTCACAGGGTGGGAGGATGGGGGTGATGTTTCCCAAAGACAGCAGGCAGAATTTATCTTTTGATGAAACTTTTCAGTTTCCACAAGATAATATGAGGGAGAGATTCTTTCGGATGAGGAAGTGCCTGCTGTAGAAGCTTTTCCTTTGGTACTGACTCTGAACCTCTTCTATGAATCCCTCTGTAGAAGAGAATTCACCTAGAAGTAATATCTCATCAAAAGGATCCCTGAAGAGATGTGGAAGCAGGATTTAGAGGCAGCCTAGAGTTGAAAAGGATGCAGTAGCCATTCTGCACAATCTGCTTTCAAGCTGTTTGGTAGTGGGCCTGGTGGCCCTAAAGGAAGGTAAAGAATACAATGAAATTGGTTCTGTGCTCCTGACAAATGCATCAAAACTGAGGAGGCTGAAGACTGGGAGGGATCTCCTGGAGACCTGTGTCTTGCAGACTTGGTTTTAGACAATATATTCATGTAATGTTTAAGAAAAGTTTGTAAATGAGTTCCAATGGTTCATGGATTAGGGACCCTGTAGCTGGGTGGTCACCAGCTCCGGCCCTGAAAGGGTTACAGCCAGCCCTGGGAGAGGGCTGGGGCTGTGAGGCAAAAACCTAGGCTGATTGGGGAAACAGCCACAGCTGGGGCCACGCCCCAATCAGGCCACAGCTGGCCCTATAAAAGGCTGTGCGCCAGGAGCTCAGGCAGTCTCTCTCTAGCTGTGGAGAGAGACAGGCCTTGCTGCTTGGGAGCTCAGCAGGGTACCTAGAGTGGAGCAGGGCTGGGAAAAGGCCAGAGGAGCTGGGGAGCTCCTGACTGGAAAACCCCCAGGCTGCAGGCCTTGGGAAAGGCCAGGAAGGGTACCAGCGTTGCAGAGGTGCAGCCCAGGGTAGGCAAAGGCAGCAGGTCCAAACCCGCCTTGCCGATGATGAGTGGTATAGACTGCAGTCTACCCCAGTGAGCGGAGGCTAGATGGTGACTGGCAGTAGCCACTGAGGTGAGGTGGGGGTAGGGGATTCCCCTGGGTGGGGAGATCCTGAGAGTGGGGGTACTGCCAGGGGGCAGCACCCAAGGTAAACTGGGGCTTGAGGCAAGCCGGACATCAGCCAGCAGAGGGCGCTCCGGAGCTGGAGAGCTAATTCCCAGGACAACCGGCAGGAGGCGCCGTGCCGGTGAGTCTTTGCGTTGCTACACCCAATTTTAAGGGGTTCCAGGGGCTTCTGTATAGATTATTTAGGTTAATCTTTCTATCTACTCAATGGTCAGTCTAGAAGATAGCATCAGAGATACTTAGTTTTGCAGTTTTCAAACTGGATTTGTGTCTCCCGAGATAACCTTCTTGTTAACAGAAAAAATGTTTTCAATATATAATATATAGAGGTGAGAAAAAACAGACCTCAACCCTATTATCCCTCTGCAAATGTGTGTACACAGAGTCAATCCCTTACCTCCCTCTAAAAGTGCAAAGTTTCAAAAAGTTCAATGACTAGAAGATTGTTGGGGGCAGAACAGATCTGGACAAGGAGAAGTCGTCTGGAGATAAATGTGAGAAGGGAGGGGAACTTTTCATTCTTCCCGTTGAAACTCACTACAACCTAGATCTAGGTTTCCTCATCAAAGACTAGTTCAGAATCCGTCAGAAAAATATTCTTGGCAACTTTCCATGCAGTCAGCATCAACTGGTGATAATCCATATTGGGACTGGACTCCCAGTAATCATGTCATTGCCTAAATCACAACGGAAACTGCAAAAGCCAAACTGTCCAGGATTCTCTGTGATAACTGAATCTACCATCTATGTGATTCCAACACCACCTGAAAATTTTGATTGTTTCACCCAGATCATCTAAATAGGTATAAGAAAAAAGAAGGATATACCTTCTTGTGGAAAGAAACAGAAAAGAGTGCCAAGTGTCATCTGATGTAAATACTCAACATCCTTACTATAGTCACTGAAGTTAGTGCACTGCCAAGGATGGATTGAGATGGTTGAAGCTCTGTACTTTACTCACTCCAGTTGCTAAGCTTGGATATTATTACACCAGCATGGGCCTGCAAAGCCACTGAAACATCGAAACACTCAAGTCTCAGCTGATGTGACTGCAGCAATACTTCTTATGCACATAAAAAGCACCACAGGACAAGTTTATTGAGCGCAATGTGCGCAGAATACGCTGACAAATAGTCAACTTACCACTTGCCTCCTCCTTGCTATCACTGCCCTTCACTGTTGAGGAGGTCAATAAGACCCTTTCACTTATAAAAGCTGGAAAGCTGCAGGACCTGATGGTGTTTTGCCAGAATTTGTTAACAACCTCAGAGCTAAGTACAAAAGATGGCTGGCAAGACCATTCTCCAATATCCATTCCTCGGGGTTTGTCCTGAGAATCCGGTGTGAAGCTAACTAGTAATCCTTCATAGTACCAGCCTCTCTCATTCCTCTGCTTGTCATACAAGCTTAGAGAGAGAATATTACTGGCAAGGATCATACTGCCTGTAAAATCAATGCTACCAACCAAACAAGCCTTAACACCACAAAGGTGGAATTCCAGTGAAAACTCACAACTGAGGCAGCTTTCTTAGACTTATATGAGGCATACAACATGGTATGAGGGATATTTATTGCCTCTTTCTAAAAGCCAGCAAAATTATTCCATGCAATGCAATGATAAAATTCTTCTGAGAAGTGCTGACCAATCATAGATTTCATGTTTTCCTTGGTGACCAGGTCAGCAGGCCATGCACTGTCAATGATGGTCTACCACAGGGATCAGTCCTATCACCAATTCTGTTTAATATCTATACCAGCAACCTTCCTCAAACATCATCACCGAAATTTGTCTCCTCTGATGACATTGCTCTGACTAAAACCAAACCCTACTAAGATAGTTGTATCAGCATTTAATCTAAACAATCAAACAGTTAGATCAGAATCGCACTTGGACTTTTGTGGCCAGCAGATAAGATACGATCCTATCCCAAAATATTTTGGTGTAACCATAGACCAAAACCTCACAAAAATCACTAGTACCTGAAAAATATCCATGACAAAATAAAGATGCATGTAAATCTCATCCAAAAATGGGCAGGAACAACCTGTGGAGCTGATGCAAAAAATTTCTACAGACCTCTAAAGTGGCCCTTGTCTACTATACTGCAGAATACTGCTCACCGATCTGGGCACATAGCTCCCTCACATCACTTGTCAACTCTCAACTTAACAGTCATGCATATCATTACAGGCACAGTAAAAATCAAAGCCATAACCATAGCTTCCTGTACTGGTGTACATCCATTCACCCCAAATTTGTTGCAACACAGGAATCCTTCAGGAGCCCCATCATATTTGAGGGAACAAGGATCTCCCAATACAGGAAGACCTAAATAATATCTGAAAACTCTGACTTAAATCCAGAAAACCTTTTTGGCTTGCAGTGCAAGAGCTCAAAGACTCAGGGTTTCCTCCCCACAAAAATCAGTGGCAAGTAAGGAGGAAGACGGCAACATCGAGAACAAACACCTCATCAAGGATTCAATTGAAGAACCCAGTGGCTTTTCACTTCCATGGCAAATAAGGTCCACTGTAAACACACACATCACATGGCAGAAGCACCTAACCTCCTCCATAAATGGAAACTTAGATCCAAACTTATTTGTGAGTATGGAAATGAACTTCAAACTAGGCGACATCATGTCAACCAATGTCCCAAACAATCATATTTTAGTAGTTTCTCTGACATCCACTCCAGGTCACTTCAAGCAATCAATTGGATCACCAGCCTAGACCTGGACATCTAACACTGATGGTTTTAAGCTACACAAACGAAGATGATGACTACTGAAATATATCGGTCAAGAAATAAATGAGAGAGAGAGAAAAAATAATCAAAATGTGATATATTGAACAGGAAAAGGAAACGTGCATTTTTCCTGGTGTCGTACTCTGGAAAATACTACTTACCCTGTCATGTAGTGTCCAACCGACATATTTTAAATAACTATCATTCAGGAAGGCATCACTGTACATTTTCATCCACACTCCAATTTCCTCAATACAAACGGCTCTAATCTCAGCAATAGCATCACTAGAGAAAAAGAAAAAAATAATCCTCTTTGACTTGAACCTTGTTAAACACAATTTTCCCTTCATCCCCATCAGTCTAGTGATAATTTACTAGCTCCTTATAATACCACAATATTTATGGGTCTCTTTACTTTCTCCACCATACCCACACTCTCATTTTGTTCTCTTTTATCCTTGTGTTCAACTCTGATGTCTCTAAACTTGTCATCCTCAAACCCACCAACTTATCAGTTTCACCCCTCCTCCTGTATTTAAGTATGCTGTTTTTGTCATCCTAAAGAGAGAGTGTCACTCTACTCCACTCCTCAATTACTCCATCTCTTTTCTTCCATTATTTCAAAGCTCCATAAGTAGCTGTCAATCTTAATGTCCTGACTTAGTCTACTCCCTCTGTTTCCAAAATATGATCTACAAAGATCTATCTGGTTGCTGGACTCTCTTTTTTGGTCCAGATACTTCTATGAGTGTTCAGGCTCCTTTTCTGAAGAGGAGCCTGAAAGCCTGGAAGCAATGGAGAGGAATCAATCTAGTTTTTTTTTTTCAACCAGAGATCCCTGCTCAGATCTCCATTCCTGAGATGAACTTGAGAACTGGAGGTGCTGGATGACTCCAAGGTGGGGAGAGAAGCTTAAGGCTGCAAAGCCACCAGGTTTGACCCAGTCCTATGATTCACTGCCTGCAGAGAGACCAAAGGAACTGATGCAGGGGCAGGCCACAGTACTGCATGCAAACAAGTCACATGAGAGAGGACCAAGGATCTTCACTGTAGTCAGGGAAGTTGTGGATGGAAACACCCATGTTGCAGCACCACCTACTGGTCTTGGTTGGTTCTACAGGTCCCATCTGCTGTGATAATTGGGTCTACAAATTTACCCTAATTGTGAGCTCAACTATAAAAAGTGTGTGAATGTTCATAAAGTGTCAAAATAGCCTATAATAATAAACAATGATGGGAAAAGTTCCAAAAGGGGGGGGGGGAGGAGAGAGACTGTATTAGTACAAACAAAAAGGCCTACAGATATAATTCAAGGACTGCGTAAAGATTATATCTGGTAAACAAGAACAGTGTGAGAACAAAAATTTATTAACCAAAATTGGTGTGCTGGAAAGTGGTCTTATTGGAGGACAAAATAATGAGAGGATGGACTATTCTGCCTACCACTCCCTTAAAAAAAAATGGGGGGGAAAAATATGGATGAACAGATGGAGGCCAACACTATGCTGACTGAGGGAAAGGCAAGAGAAGAGGAAGGAGCAAGCTTCATCATAACGGCTGTCACACCCACAGTCTCCTGGGAATCCAGACCTCCGTCATCAAAATCCTGAAAGATGCCCTGACCAGAGAGATGGAGACAGATGATACTGCCACCTCCACCAGCTTTGGCTAAATCCTGAATACCACCAGGGATGAGAGGGTGAGTGACCTTGAAACACCTTTGTGTGTTCTTTTCCTTCCCCACTTATTTCTTCTCTTATATCCCTCTCCTTTTTCCTTTTGTCTAATGAGAGTCTGACTCGGCCATTCAAGACTGCATATTCTGTAACACTGGTATGAGTCATGACCAAAAAGGCAACTAAAAGCAATATTCTAAACACTTCATTGCTGGTAAAGTTTGCCAGGTCTCAGCGTGGTTGATCAGACCATGTGCTTCATCTGTTTTTTTTTTTTCCCCACCAGTGAGGCTGCAAGTGAAAATCAACATCAGAGACAGAAGCTGTATTTTCTATCTTTGCTATTCTTTTCTCTCCCCTTTTGCGTGTGCTTGTTTTGTCTTCTTCGGAAATGGGATAGGACTTTTAACAATGACAGCTCCAGCCCATCTCAACTAACTTCTTGTCTTTTCATCAAAAAGGACAGTTATCTTTAATACCATCCAAGAGACTGTTAAACATAGGGTTTTTTATTCTAAAAACTCTGTAACTAAAGGGAACATGGGATGGTACAATGAAAGCCTAATTTAATATTTTATATTTCAAATGCTTTAGCTGTTTTTTCCCTTCTGTGTATCTTTTATAAAAAAGATTTAAGGATTTTTATTGGTGTTTGCGCCATGGTACTAAGCAGGCAAACCATCAACACAGAAACTTCAAGTCTGCTTTGAAACTCCCTGGTTCTTTCAACCTCCAAGGCTGAACCATTATCTGTCACCCTGCTGAGATGGGTACACCCCAACCTCAAATTAAAGAAACCATTCAGTCCATGATGGAGGTAATATTCATTATAAGCAGAGTAGGACAATGACCCAGCTGTCCCTACCAGGTATCTCTCAATTTCTTTTTAATCCATATACAGACATGAGATATTATATGGATTAATGCTTTATAAATGCCAATAAATTAGAATGAGCTGTGGGAAATCTTTTTACCCTTATTGGGGAAGCAGCCATGATGATTACAAAAAAAAAAAAGGTGCTGTTTAATCAAATTTGCTATCTACCAAGTATTTCAAGTATACAATATTTCAGAACAGAATATGTTGGAATCTCTCTCTCTTATTGGCAGTTGTTTTAAAAATAGTTTTCTGGAGTGGAGGTAATTATATCACATGCAGACCAAAGTGTAGAGATGGCAGGCCTGAACGAGAGGAAGGGGAGGTTAGTGGGCTCCACAAAGGGGTGGGCCACCTGAACTGTAGCTAAAGGGGGAGAAGAAAATAAAAGGGCTATCTATTTTAAAATGAAAGAAATAAAAAGAGTAATGAAAGAAATAGAATGTAAGGGTTAAAGAACAGTCAGAAAGGTAATTCATAAGGACCAAAACAAAATGGCCAAGTATGTAAGGTTATAAATATAACTAACAGATAACCATTAGGGCATTCTTGCTGGGGATGCCTTATATCTCAACTCCAGTTGGGCAGATGCAGAATCATTCTCGTTCCAAATTCACCATCTAAACCTAAAAATCATTTGGGAAGAATTTAATGACCACCCCAAAAAAGAAATCCAAGCCATCACAACTATTCCATAGAGCCATTTGTACTCAGGAGGATTTCTCTCAGCTTCTTGAAGGAAACACCACCTAAACAGAGAGAGAAAAGATCCTTCTTGCTATAAAAGTTGACATGCCAGAGATTCTCACAGAACTCAAGGGAATAGAACTGATATTCAGTCCACATTACTGTTTATAAAAAAGGACATCTCTGACCTACGTGGGAAGTTCAATATAACTGAAAACGAAGTAGGAAAGAATGATGTCTGCAGCACTATAGGACTTGTAGACCAGAATCAAGTATTTGGAGACAGAAG